CTTCTTTCCTGGGGCATTTGTGCTCCTCCACTTCCAAACCCTAAAACTGGACTGGAAATGTTCTCTTGCCATGAGACTCTTGATTTTTGTTCTTGGATGAAATGAGCACATACAGGGGTCTTTGACACCTCACACCTTATGCACTGCAACGGGGGAAAAAAGCCAAAAACCCCAAAATACTCTCTGAATGAATCTTTATGGTGATTCAAAATATTTCAGGTTGATCCTGTCATATGCTGTATAAGTTCCTGACTGATTGTATGGAATTAAGTTATTGGGCAGAGAACCAGCTAATGGAAACACATTGATGAAATCATTTTTGAGGGACATTAAATGGGACTTAAAATAAAGCTGAAATGGCTTTATGGATTTTTCAGTCAAACTGTTTATGAACATTTATCGGTGGTAAATTACACAGTGTCAGAAGAGGGAATCAGTATAATGGAAGCCTCTCTGATATAATACTGTGAGAAAGAATAATTTATTCTAGATGTACAGTACAGTGTGTTTAAATCCAAATGATATTATTGTTTTCTTCTGTCTTTGGCTGATTGCACATAAGTTACCCTTAGCAGCAGCAGAGAGTCTCATATGATGAAAAAAAATATTAGCACTTTGCAATGAAATAGAAATTTTCTGTATGTGTTTTTCATGGCAGATAGAAAATGTTTTAATAACTGATAATTCAGGAAGTAGAAACTGTGTTGTACAATAATAAATGTAGCTTACATTGGCTTTATGCTCAGTAAAAGATGAAGAGAGATCGAGCAGCTTTGATTGAAAAGGGAGATTGTAGCAGCTGATTCTTGAACTGGAGCTGTTTGTTAATACCATTTGCCAAAACCCATCATTTCTCAGGTAGAGGATAGTGAAAATAAGACTAGAGGAATGCAAGACTAGAAAGAAATTTCTGGTCCTGAAAATACTGCCCCTTGGTTCTGGGACAGCAGATCTTCCAGTCAGGTATTTCTCAGATCTGTCATATTGTCTGTCCCATCTAACTGAAAAGCTGCTCCCATTGCTCTTTTGTCTCACTGGTCCTTCCCTTCAGGACCAGTTTACTGCCACTCATGTAAGCACTGGCTCTCATATAAACATGGGCTTAGAGCCAGTGGTTCTTTTCCCTTGGGGTTATTTACCCTCCTGATGTATTTGTGCACAGCATGAGTATCCTTCCTGAGCACATCATGCTGCTCAGCTACACAGCCAACTCCTTCCAGCCTTCTTTTATAGGACTTCTTCTTTTCTGTTTGTGCAGTCAGGACAGTTTTTCCTCTCTGGGGATGAGCAGGAGGGCACACAATAGTTCAAGGATTCACTGATGATTCTTAAAATAATTTGGTTTCCTTTCACTTTTGGTGTTCCTGTTAGACTTTCTTATTGCCTTTCAGTTTAATATCATGTTTGCTGTCCATAAATCATGAGCAGCATTCAGCTTTTATCCAGGGACATTGTATCTTGGAAGCCTCCAACATGTAGAAGAAATTTTTACTACTTTCTAAGCACATGAACTTGGACTTCATATTTTCAATCATTTGTTACTCCATAACATCCCAGTTTCCTACAGCAGAGCTGGAATAGTCCACTTCAGTGACAACAGCACATTTCCCTCAAAATTTCCTTCCTTTTTTTGCCAAAGCCTTGAGTCACAGTTGGATTCCATGATCTGCAGAGTCTTTTCCAACATCAGTGATTGTGTGATTCTAAAACCACTAAATGAGGTCACTTCCTCCAGCCTTCACTTTCAACACCCTCCAACACTGGTGCTGTCAGAGCTGGCTGGGGACTTCCACAGTGGCCAAAAGCCAGACTTTGACACAAATGTCCAGTGGAGCTGAATTAGTCCAAGGCACTTTTTCCCCCAGGCAGAGATTGAGACTCTCCAGTGTAGAATAGAGGGGGCTGGAGGGAAGGGGGCATGTTTGAGGTCCAGAAAATTCCCAATAGCACAGAAAAAAGAGGATGGTTCTTTGGTGAAATCCTCAGGCAGCAGGGTGAAACCAAAGGGAGAACTTCCCCAGAGTGTTTAATTCATCTGTCAGCCCCTTGCTACAGAAAGGGAACACTTAGGATGAGGATTAGGTGAGGTGAGGGAAGTTAATCAGTGTTTTTGACAAACTTTCTGTGCCAACTCAAGGGGCCCTCAGCTGCTGACAGCCAGAGCCAAGGGAGGGATGTCTCAGTCCTGGTCCTTCAGCATCCCCTCGTGGTTGGTGTCCTGCTCAGTGACAGAGACAGGTGGCCCTTTGGGAGATTCTGTGTTATTAAAGAAGAATATGAATTACACAGTCAAGGCAGAAAGCCTTATCAAGGCAGGTAGCATTCACTTCAAATTCAGATCAAAGGAGAGAAACAGAAAGGTTTGGAAATCTCATTCCTGTTCCCAGTGCATGAGGGACTTTTTAATGGATCTGGCAAGAAGGGAGACAGGAAAAGAGGGTTTGAGAACTGAGCAGGGAAGGGAAAACAAGTAAATGGAGGAAACTAATACCCAACTCTTTCATTTTCAGCCTTCTTGAAATGACTGCATTGGGGTTTTCATTGACCTTGTTCCAAAGTTGCTTCCTGCATTTAATCTAAAAAATGAAAGCCTGGAAAACCCCAAGTTTTTTTGTTTTTTTGTTTTTTTTTCCAGAAATAAGTTAGTTTCTCCTTATTCTGCAAGCACTTCTGGTTAAAGGCAGGTAGTTCTTTTGAGTTTGCATGACTTCAGTATTTGACTTAAGGTGTCTAAAAATTAATTAAAATGCCCAGCATAAAATTAATTAAAGTGCCCAAGCCATGTGGGTGAAGGGGTACAAGAATATCTGAGTGCATCTCTCCAGCTGCACTTCCTCATCCTCCTTCCCTCAAAAATCACTCTTCTATTATGCAGATAAGTGCAGGCTGGATGTTTTGCTACATTTCGTTGCAAAGCCAAGAGCCAAGGCAATTGTGTTGGATAAAGCAGAGATTTAAATCATTTGGAAACTGTTGAGAGAGGACAGATCTGATAGTAACAACCTTCATGGTTGGCAAGTTACAGCTGCTTATGACAACTTGTAACAATGACAGCTTATAGTGAAGTTAAAAGCTCAATATCTGTATTGTGCCATAGGATCAGTTTCAATCCCAAGTATAAACCTTCAAACTTTAGGCTGCCTTTATAATCTTTGAGTTTACTTCAGTTTTTTCTGGGTTAAAAAGAGTTGGGCAGTTTTTTTATAAATGTTAGAGTGCTTGTTTTCATTCTGATTTTTTTTTCTTTGACACTTTGGGACAGCTTAGTTAATTTATTTCAGTGTAAAGAAAGTGGAGTCATACTGCAGTCGTAGGTGTTTCTCACTTATGGCAGCAGTTACAGCAGGATGTTGTCTTGACATGTTTTGGACCATCTCAGAACATCTGTTATTCTGTAATGATGACTTTCAAACTGCACACAGGGAACAGCTACAACAGCATGTGTTAGGAGTGCTCTCAAACTGTACATGTAAAAGTTTTCATCAGGATCTGTAGTTTGCACCAATAACTTTATCAGACTAAAATCTAAAGAAATAAAAAAAATGCCACCAGCGCTGTCTGCATGCTGACACTGAAATTGCTGTGATGACTGCAAGTAAAGAGTGACTAATTGTTCACAGTGGGTCTGAAGGCAAGACCACAGGTTTGTATTTAAGAATAGAGGTCATACTTGCTCATTGGCTTGGCAGCTATATATTGGAGAACAGGCACATTAATCTCTAGCGCACACACTCTGTGTGTGAGGCAGTTAGTGCCACTCTCAGCTGTGTTTTAATTGGAAGTTTCAGTGGGAGCAGGAACGTGATGTTCTGCAGCAGAGTGTCAGTGACAGCACCTGGGGACTCCTGTGCTCCAACAGGGTACTTTAAAAGTAGAACAGGTTCAGAAAAAAACAAAACCAGTGAGAAGTCCAGAGGATTTCCTTCGCAGTGATTGATTCAGAAAGCCCAGAACTTCTGAGTGAATCAGAGCAGGTTGGGGGGGTTGGTTCACCATCAGTGTCTGACTAAAGTCTCCTCATGCAAGGGTGGTTGGCACACGAGGACTCGAGAAGATTCAGTGGCTGAAAGATTAAATGAGACCATTTCAGATTAGATGCACATTTTAGATGAGAACAGTCAGTGGAAAGGGTTGCCAGAGGGTGCCAGGGCTTTGGCTTACAGCAGTGATGTGAGGAGAGCACATCTTCCTAGAGAAGAGAGAGCAGGGATTGGTCACAAAATATGGGTGAGTCCAAAATACGGGCCCAGTTCAGGGATGGTTGGGTGAAGTGGCCCAACTGGGCTGTGCAGGTGGCCATGAAGAGGATTGCAGTGGTCTGGAACTTAGGCAAGCTGTTTGTAGTACCCAGCAGTTCACAGGTCCAAAGCCAGTCAGCAAATGGGGCAGTGCAGCTTCCCCATCGTCTCTGAGAGAGGGAGGAATGAGCAGAAGTTAAATAATTTCTGGGTCACACATTGAACTGGTGGCCAGGCTGGGACTGGGGCAGGGTCTGCTTGTGCTGCCCTGCATGAGGGTGCAGCTCCTTCCCTCCTTTTCCAGGCACAAGCACAGCCTGACTGGAGAGGTGTTCGCAGGGATCAAGTCAAAATCTGCTTTTCTCCCTTGAGTATCTCTGAGAGCCCAGTGAAAGAAATGATGTCGTGACATGCATCCAGGTTCTTTCATGAGGGATGCAGCTGGATTAGATGCCTGGTTAGCAAAGGGTGTTTTTTCCAAGCTCCCTGCATCAGCTGGGTCAGCAGACTCTCCCCAGGTCGGGGTGCAAGCACCTACTTTTCCAGCCAGAAGTGCAGTTGACAGGCAAACCCCACGTGTAATCAAGGCAGCCCATTGCAGATGAACAGGGTGTGGCTTTTCTGGGGACAGAAGGGATGTGCAAGAACGACATGGGGTCAGGCAATGGGGTAAATTGCACCTAGGTATGATTTGACAATCACTCCCCTGATAACAGCTTATAATGTTTACAATTTGTCTTCTGTTTTGTTTTGTGATTTCAGGAGCAGAAGGCACAGTGTTCCCTAAATCTATAGAAACTCCCAATGTCAGGGCAGACCCCTTCAAGGAACTAAGGTAAACTTTGGAATATGGTTTAATGGTAACTCAGTGGAGCCTTGTTGGAGTTGTGCTTACTGCTGGGCATCATTTCTGCTTTTGCAAAAGAGCTTGGGGATTCTCTTTGGAAGGCATCACAAGAGAGGATGCCATGGAAGGGAAGGGACCTGCCATATTTACATGTGATATGACCAAACTAAAGGCAATCACAGGTCATGAGAGCAGCATTTCTGCTCTGCAATGTGCTCTGCATACCCTGGGCTCAGCATTTGGAAAAAAAAATAGAGTAATTTTTTCCTGGTTGTGCAGGGAGGTGCTGAAGGCCGTGCTGGATCACAGGGAGTAGCAGCAGGCAAAAGGATAATGCTGTCCAGTATTATCAGACTTGCAGAATTGCAAACCCTCCCTGACCTACACAGGGCACAGCTGTGCACATGTGTAACTGCTGACACTTGCAGAGATGCCACTTGCTGACAGCATTGTGCCATGGGGGAATAAACAGCACAGCTCCTGGGAGCCAGCTCTGCCCTCAAGCTAAGGCTGGGTGTTATATTTATTTTTAAAAATAATTAAAAAAAAAAGTGTGGCACTACAGGTTAACTTGAATGACTAGCCTCAGGAAAGATACTAATCATATGGCTTAAAAAATTAATGACTGAATCTCCTGATATCCTCTCACCAAGAGTGCTGTAGGGGTTTGCCTCAATACTCAAATTATTCCTCCTTAGAAAAAGAGAGAGAAATATTTAAAAAAAAAAAAAAAAAAAGAAAAAAAAAAAAGCAGAAGGACATTTTGTCCTTAAATATTGGGTTGCCAGCTCTCCTTTGCTGGAAAATTCTGGGTATGGAGCAAACCTGAGCCAGCTGAAGTTGAGCACAAGTGCTGCTGGTTTACTGCAGATGCAGGGGGCTGAGAGAGAGCAGCTCTCATGGATTCCCTGCTCTGGTACCAGGGATAATTGTGGCCCAGCTAGGTCACCAGGGAAGAGGAAGAATCTGCCTTCCCTTGGGTCTGTCTCTACCTTTGAGTTTCCCCCAGGAAACCCTCTAATTGTTCCAATTTCCCACTCTGGGGATCACCTGTCAGACTGCAGGAGCAGTGGGGGCGTGATGGGGTTTGTTAGGAAAGTTTGTTCTCTTCCTCCAGGCTGTGACTTTACCCTGCCTCGTGGTTTTCCCAGTTTGGGTCTGCTTCCTTTAAAAAAAGAGGAAATGTGGTCTTTACTCACTGTGACATGCAGCTGGCAGGGCAGGGGCTGCAGTGGGGAAAAGGAGATGTGAGGGCAGGGAGTGGTGGGGCAAGGCTCTCCATTTCCCTGGAAAAGCCAAGCAAAGGCACCAGCAGATGGATTTCTAGGTGACCTCCAGGTGACAAAGGCTTTCTGGCACAGCCTGTGTTTACTGACATTTTCATTAAAAAAAAAAAAAAAAAAAAAAAAAAAAAAAAAACTGCAAGATCATGGTTAAAATATCCAGTAGCATCTCCAAAATTCACAAGAACCAAAATTTACAAAATTTTGTCTTGAGTAGTGGAAAAGAGATGCAAGATTTAGGTCCAAGTTTGTGATGATTTAAGACTTTTCTAAAATGGGAAGGGGGAAAAAAATCCAAATAAGTGTAGGATGTCGTATTGGAGGGGAAAAATGTGAATTGAAAGAGCCTTAACGTGATTGACTATGCTTCTGTTCCAAAGCGAATTAAACTAAATGAAATTGAAATGAATTAATGGCAGTATCCATGGAAGGGATTGATTCAGTATATTTGATCTGCTTTAAATTCATGTTGTTATTTCACTTGTTTTATGTGGAGAGCTGTTAGGTAACTGATTTCCTTTCGAATTAGTGGACTGGGTGGTAAAAATACTTTAAAATCTGCTGTGGTTTTTATATTTTTAAAGGAAAATTATTTAATAGAATTTACCAAATCTCATGGGGTTTTTGCTTTTTTTTTTTTTTTTTTTTTTTTTGAGGAAAATTATTTAATAGAATTTACCTGGAGGAAAAAAAATCCCACAACGTCCTAAAATACTCTGTGTGCTTCTGACAAGTTTATCTTGGCAAAAATAAATGTTTTTTTACAGCATCCTGAGGAGAAAAGAGCCAGTGGTGGCAGTGTGTAGGGAAAGCAAGGTTTTCCAAGAACAAATGCTCTAGTGCTCCCCAGACCAAGATCCATCCATCTCTCTCTACATGTTGGATCACTGGCTGCTTCTTAGCTAAAACGGTGCCTTTTGGGGGCAGTACAGAGTTAATAGTGAAAATAATCTTACTCTGAGGGGAGATTTTTTGGTTCCTTCCTATTTTGATAGCAGAGTGTGTGCGTAAGGTGTCCTTTTTGCCTATTTACAAAGATGCTTCAGTGAAATGGGGCTGGATGAGATGGGCCCTGAGCTGTCACACATTGCTGGGAAAGCAGCAGTGAAATCACACCCTCAGTAGCTGGCTTGCCTCTAAAAGACCTTTTTCTGCAATAAATAGTGCTTTCTTTCCTCCTTAGGCTGAACTTCTCAGGTGGAAAGTGCACATTCAGCTGCTGCAGGTGCCCCCAGGCACCACCAGCCTCCATCTCTATCCTAAAGCAAGGATTATGGTGCTTTGCGGATTTCTCCCTTTGCTCTTGTCAGTGCCCACTCCTCTTCTTTTGTAAGACTCCAAAATCAGGTGGCAGCTCTCACAAAGAGAGGAGACCAGCTGCTCTTCTCACTCCTGGGAGTGAGGATACCTGGATGTCCTCCTTACCTTGCTCCTCTCCTGGACAGACAGAGTCCCTGGCAGGAATAATAGTGACCTAAAAGCTGGAGATGGTTGACAAGTTTTTGATTTACTTTTGTGAACTTCTTCCTGTTTTTACATATTTGAAGTAATTGTAGACTCCTGAATGTATTGGGTTCTAAACCGGTCAAAAGCTGTGAAAAGGCAAGCAAACAAATCCAAATTAATTTTAAATACTTGGGATGTTTAACATTGCCATCTGGTATCGTCCCAAAATAGTTTAGGGGGAGGGCTTGGGAGATTTGTTTGGACATTGAAATATTTGTACTCATCTGCATTGACGCTTTTTAGAGCAGGTTGGTGCCTTTGACATATGGTAATGTGATTGCTTATGTATAAAAGTTGAATTCAATATGACCTTTTCTCACTGGATTATTTGAGTAGCAACCAAGTAACTTGTCAAGAGGCAGCCTTGAGAACCTCTCCTTGACATTGGCAGGAATCACCTGCCTTTTTCTATTTACATGCCTCAAAAAAACAAATACATGCCAGAGATGCAAACAGAAATTGTCCATCAAACACCAGATCAGCACTCTGCAGAGGTGAGGGATAAAGGCTGGACTAGCCAGTGAATAAGGAAGAAGAAAATAGTTTGAGGGGAAAGGATTAAAAGGTGGGTGATGAAATACAAGATAAAAGTAGCAGGAGGATGCTGTTAAAGTGCCAGGTGCTGGAAGCTGGGGATGGGGTGGGGTTGGGGCAGAGCTGCCTGAAGTACCAATGTCCAGGTTGTGCTGCAGCTTGGAAACCTGCTCCAGGGTATTTATGTTCCCAGAGTTAAATAAAAAGAAGTCAGACAACATGAAATTCACTCCATGAGGGGCAAGCACACACCTGGAATTCATCCACAGATATTGGAGGTTGAAAATGCAGTGAATTCCTCATCCAAGGCTAGGAAGCCAAGGGATGACTGTTTTTTCTATAATGTACAAATATAGTTAAGGGAGAATTAATCCCTTGGGCTTAAAGGGGTAATTTTTTGGCTAAAGTTAATTATGAAGCACTGAAAGCACGAAATGGCAGATGAAATGTGCTTGCTGCTTGATTTTATTAGTGCAATTCCACCTCACCATGTAGAATACTGAACTATCCAAATAGTCCAAGTGAGACCTATTGTAACAAAAAACAATTTAAATACAGTGCTGAGCTAACGTAACAATACTCATTTTGAAAAACAGGAATTCTTACCAAGTCAAGGTTTCTGTCAGCTGTGTTTCACAAGGCACCATAGATAAGTTGGTACAAAAGTAATATTTCTGTCGAAAACCAATTACATTAATAATGATTAAGAGGAGAAAAATTAAAGGAAATGCGAAAAATGAATGGTATAAAAGAGGAAGTTACTGGTGAGAAATTAAAGTCATTTATAGAGAGTAATGCAGGATACTGAAACCCTGTTTAGCTCACAGTGAACACCTGTGGATTCCTGTGAGGTTTCAGCAAGGGGGAGATGACCACTGAAGCCTTGTACAGTGCTGGTGTTATTTTCTGATTGTTTTACAAGCAGGAATGCAATATTTTTCTCTGTTATACCAGTGCAATCCCAATAATTTTGATAGTCCTAACAGCTTAAAAGACAACAGATTTTCCTTGGGATGAGCTTACCTTCACACTGTAACAAACATAACTATTTTCAGTTACTTTCAGACAGGTTGAATGTAAACAGCCATCTCCAGTAAAGCCAACACAAACCTACTCATACACAACTAAAAGGAGACACCAGATTCCTGGTTTCTAAACTTCAGGCTAATTTCAGTGGCCTTTGGTGAGTTGCTTTTGAATCCTCATCACCTCATTATCTGACTGAGGATGCCACATCTGATTTAACAATTTTCCCATGGCAGCTGAGGCTTCCTGAAACTCTTGCTGTTGCAGAGACTTTCCCAGAGCAGAATTCACACTGATTTTGAAGCCACTTTGCTTTAGTATTTTGTCCTGGTGACTTCCCTTCAAATCTGCTGCCTGTTTGGCTCTTACAAAAGACAAGCCACAGCCCTCCCAAGCCAAAGGCAGCCTCTCTACAGCTTCCTGGGTGCATTAAGATGTATTTATACCACTGGGTATAAGGGTTGGAGTTAGGGAAGAAGTTGATTGCTGGGGCTTTCCATCTGTTAAAATAGTTCTGTTGCAAAAAGGAGGAGAGGGAGAGGGAGAGGGAGAGGGAGAGGGAGAGGGAGAGGAGAGGAGGCTTTACCCTAGCAAACCTTCTCTTGGTGGCCTTCCTCTCTTCCACAGCCAGCACCAGGA